AACAAGTGACATATTATATAAGTCAAGTGTGTAATGCACATATTTCTGGGTGTTCTTGGTTCCCCACATTTTTGTGTTGGGTTCTTACTTTTATCTTCATTCACTCATTCATTCCTTTGATTTGTTCCTTCCTTCCTTCCTTCATTCCTTCCTTCATTCATTCATTCCTTCATTCATTCATTCATTCATTCATTGATTCATTGATTCATTGATTCATTGATTGATCGATTGATTGATTCCTTCCTTCCTTCCTTCATCCATCCATTCATTCATTCATTCAGTCAGTCAGTCATTCATCCATCCATTCATTCATTCATTCTTTCAATCATTCATTCATTCATTCTTTCTTTCTTTCATTCATTCTTTCTTCTTTTTTTTTTTCATTCTTTCATTCTTTCATTCATTCATTCAATCAATCAATCAAACAATCAATCAATCAATACTTTCTGAATCTAGGCGTTCCTCCTGCCAATGCATTTTTCCTTTGGTCTCCTAACTTTTTTTCTTTCCCTCTTGCTGCTTGCCCCGCAAAACAACTTCACATGCGGGGTAAGTACTTTACTCAATGTCGCGATTTGTTGCGCACTTCGATTGACGTTTAGGTGTTGAAAACGGCCACTGTTCTTCACACAGAAATTTCAACCCAGAATTTGCGCAATGACACTTTGGATGCAGTTACAGTTGAGCTCCTGGCACGTTTTCTCTTCGACACCCCTTGACTGAGCTGGTGATTTTACCATGAACTCAGAAAAGGACGCTGACCAAGTGTTTGTGTTTGCAGACCACGGTGTTCCCTCTCATCTGGCCGATGCAGGATAGGGGCTGTCTACATTTCAATGTCAGAAGCCCTGACTGACCTGATGTTCGAGTCGGTGCCTTCCCAGCTGTCAAAGGACTGGATTGTGTTGTTCTGATACTGGCCTTGAGGGCATCTCCCTTCCTACGCAGGACATCAGCCAGACTTTGCAGCAAGGCAAACGTGTGCCAGATGATCTCGTACCTTGGTGCAAAAACACCCGTCCTGCACTCCTGCACCGATGAAAGACAGAATAATCCATTTTGGACCTGGTTAGTTTTGTGACAGTCGCACTTGCTTGATCTTGCTTGCGCTTAAGGGCCTTCGCTGTCCAGTCTGTGTCCTTGAAAACCAGTCACCCAAGACGTCACCCAAGACGATCAGCTCACACAGATGATCAGCTCAGGTGATTCAGGCACTACGCTTTCGACTCTTGTCTCCCGATGTCTTGCAGCGCGGGTGGGTCTTAGATGATTTCCCGTGCACCAGGGCACAGGCGGGATCCGGGGATCCGGCGGAGCAAGCACCGGAGTTGGTTGCGACGCGGTTGCGTCGTTGGGCACGAGGTGAAGCACGTGACACCGCCGGATCTGCGGATCTTTCTTATCCGTCACCGTCGCCCTTTGCTTGGTGACGATAGACAAGTGTAGCAAAGCACCCTGCGCCGACTTGCTGTCAGCCAAGGGTCCAGGAGAGCCACAACTGTTCGCCTCTGTGATGGTATCGGTTCGCCTGTCGAATCGGGTGGCAAGCAGTTGACATGCCGTCATTCCAAAGAGTCACCACCCCAAAGCACGAAGAATCCCTGGGTCCTTAGTGAGGACTGATTGGGAGTTGCTTTGTGAGACATGGCTTAAAAGTCTATGATTTGCATATATAGATAAATTACTTGATTTGTGCACAAGCACAAAGTGCTCGCTTCAACTCCCGTTTGTGAGGGACTTTTGCTGCAGCTGTGTTGGAATTTTCCAACTACCTACATTTATCAACTCATTCTCTTGGATTTGAAATTTGGTCAGCTTCACAGACTTTTTGACTGAGCTTGGTACAATCCATCTCAAAGGCAAACCCCGCACGTACCAGGCAGAAGGTTTGGCGGCGCTTGGCATTGTACCACACCGCGTGTTCATGCTCCTGGCACCAGAGGCGCGTTCGGTGGGGGGACCCTCGCACTGCCAAAATGACGACTTCTGTCGACTTCCTTTTGGCAGGCGGCGATCTTCGGAAGAGCTGCAGAATTGAAGAAATCTCCAGTCGAAGGCATGACGAAGATTCGTTGAGTGTTTTACTATTATATATGTGGCCTTCCAAGTGAACAGAGACACCTACGCCGTACGCCAATCAACTTTGTGTTTATGCATTCCTGAGTTGAAAGAAGGCAAGCTGTTCTCCACCGCGTGGGAAACACATCTGAATAACTCGCAGCTGGGGCCATCATGCCATGTAATGGGCAATGCAGTTGAGGTCAGGAGCTGCAGCAGGAACTTGCGCTTCAGCGTGAGCGTTTGGATGCCTTCCATTCGCTGAGCCCCGCGCTGCGCGTGGGGATGACTCAGCGAAGTTGAGGAGCTGCCGATGGGTAAAACGAGTGTATTTATATAAATAAGGAGACTTCCCAGTTCGACTGGAAGAAGAAAACATACCCAAACCCATTGGTTGGGGGTCTCCACACCCTAGCCGATCTCTGATTATCCCAGCCAAACGATCTGAGGGCAGTAAAACTTTCTCGGACAGAGATCCTTTGCTTCTTTGATTGTCGACATTGGCACAGCAAAAAGATCTCTGTCCCAAGTACACAAGAAGGAACGCTTGGAGGGAGGTCTGACAGTTGTTCTCAAAAACAGACACCTTTTATCTTTTCAATTTTAAATCAGTCCGATCACGAAGGGGATTTCAGGTCGGTGATCTTTCGCCCAGACACCGAACGCAGAGCAGCCATCGAGGTGTTCTACGCCAGCATCTTCGACAACCTCCGGGATATCGATGCATCGAGGTGTGGCTTGTTGGTCCATTGGCGACACCACCACATCTACCGATGGGTGTTGGTCCGATGTAGATGTAGACGCTGCTAGTTCACGAGATGCGCCAGGATGTCGAAGAAAAGAGGGTTCAGGAAGCACTGAGCTATTTCATCTCAATGCATTTCCCATTCGACCGCGCGCAACTGGGCAGGTCCAAATGGGCAATCTTCGACCGCGCGCTCGAGGCTGATCCGAAAAGATGGTGTTTCACAGCTGAGTGCCAAAACTTGATGGATCAAAAACTGGTCAATGCATTGGTTCAGACATCGGGTGAAGAGTTAGTAGTTTGCACAACATGGTGTGTATTTTGGCTGACTGGAAAGGGCACTGGTTAGAGGTCCACTGTCCACTGTCCGCTTCACAGACTGGTGCCATTCACTGGATGTGTGATGTTCCAGACCGGAACAGCGTATACGCCACGTTGCATCGTACGAACGGCCCATCGCGTCGTTTGGAACGGCGGCTTGCACCCGCCGTTGCCCAACGCGGGTGTTTTCTCTGTCAACTAGTAGCGATGCACTTGTTACTAATAGCTTCTTGTTACTACTAGTAAGGCACTTGTTACTAGTAGCGATGCACTTGTTACTAATAGCTTCTTGTTACTACTAGTAAGGCACTTGTTACTAGTAGCGATGCACTTGTTACTAATAGCTTCTTGTCTCACTTCGGGTTGGCTGTTCTTCACTTCGCCTTCCTCTTCGTAGGAGACCACCTTGAGCCTCCGCGAGCGCCTCCAGTATTACCGCCGCACCGCCATGGGCGACTCGCGAGATTATCCGGAGGAGTGGTAGGTCAGCGAGTGATGGGCGGAAAGTATGTAAGAGGGGTGGGAAAAAGGCGGATTGTGATGCTTCACTGTTTTTGATGATATATATATAATGATGAGTTCTGTGGTCACTGGTCGAGTTGGCCTCCCTGGTCCTTGGGTGTCTACACCAGAAGAATTGGACTGACACTCCGACTGACATGGAAGTGGAAAACCAGTGTTTGTAGAGGAAAATGGTCATCCAAGGGGCCATCTTCCACTTCCATGTTAGTGAGTTGGAATGTAGAGTATTCTTTGTAAGACCACTTGTTGTGACTCTTCGAAACAACGAAGGGGTGGGTCGTTCAACAATCTGATTGGAATAGTTCTTCCATAAGTCGTACGTATCAAAATGGTGAGGTGAGTATTCCAAGATATTCCAAGTGCAATTCCAGGGATATTGTCTTCAGGTCGCCCTGGTTCCTTCGTCCTTCATCTCTCAAGATCGAACGAAGTGGGCGCGACGTCCCCGAACAGGTGCAATCAGTGTGAGGTCTGAAGGGGCACTGTTTTGGACGTCCAGCCAGGCACTGGTTTATGTTCAAGGATGTTAATGGTACATAATGACCAGGTTGGACCTTGAATTCAAGCCAGATCAGATTGGACCTGCTTCCTGGACTAGTTGGACAAAGAAACGCATTGGACTTCCTCTTTTTTTGCATATCAAAGTTGCATTGTTGGATTGTTTATTCCTTCACTGGCGGTCCAAGAACCACAAAACATCACTATACTGAAGTTGTTTCCATCCAGGAAATCTTGGCTAAACGCAGTTTCATGTGCCTCAGGTATGGCTACAAGGGTGAAAGGCATGTGCTTCACTAGTGTTCGCTTGGAGAACGTCTCCGGCTGGACACTTGGCACTGCAAAGCCTGGCACATGAATGAGTCCTCGAACGACTCAAACCCAGCTCGGTAGGTGGATTAGTCAGATTAGTAACGATGCCCTGACTAGGGAAAGGCGACTTGGGTCATTGGTTGGTCAGGTTGCAGCACTTGTTCAGTTGATTCTGCTGTGTGCTGTTCTGTGTGCTTGTTTCTCGGAGGCCGCGTTCTGTCTCACCAATGGTATGACAACTTCACAACCACCCACTTTCATATATACTTCTGGTATCTTTTGGCTTGCTGAAGCACCAGACATCTGCGGACGCACCTTGTCTGCGTTGCAGACTGTCAGGAAGCACTACTGCCCAGTGAGCTTGTCCTTACAAAACGAGTTGGTGCCCAGCTTTAACCGCCGCTGCGCAGTGGAATATCACTCCAAGGCCTGAAACTTGGTGATGAACACTAGTACGGATGCCCTTTGTTACTAGTAGCTTCTTGTTACTAGTAGTAATGGCCTCCAATGGCATTGGGACCAAACATGCGCCGAGGTGTACTGGATGGCTTCGGACGAGTATGCTGAGCTCTTTGCGGAAGATCCAGAGGTGGGGCCTTTTTGTGAGATCCAAAGGTCATGGTCTCGTGCCGAAGTTGCAGAGGCTAAGGTGCATTTGAAGTGCAGTAAGAGCTTTTGGCTAGAGGAGACCTTGCATTTGAAGTGTTTGCCAGTCCTCTGTCGGACAGCTGTGGTTCAAGACGAGTGCGGCCTTTTTGGTCTCTCAACTAGTGTGTTTTTCGTGAAAGCTAGCTTGCTTCATCGACTGTTGTGAGCTCAATCGATATTTTGGCTCTCTGCCGTTTCTCTGCGACAGGCATTCTTACAGGTTCCATTGCCGCCGAACTTGCCTCGGCTATTAGATGATGCTGAACGTGCGCGAAAGGCCGGAGTCTATATGGGCGGCGCTAGTGAGGCCATGACTAGTAGCAACAAGAAGCTACTGTTTCTTTGGAAGATTGAGGCAGATGTGAAGACAGAGCTCAAAGACTTCTGTCCTGTGGCCTTGGTCGAAACTGGAGAGCTTGTGAAGGTGCCCTGGTCTCAAGCAAGCACACCATCCCGAGCCATTATGAGTTGGTTTCAAGCAATTCTGATAGCAGAAAGACATCCACACTTCGATTCTACCTTCCCGTATACGGGCCACTTTTTAGACTGATGATGAGGGTCGAATTCTCTCTGTCTGTAGATCAGTATTGAATGCTTGGATACGCAGCTTCTGATTGCTTTTCAAAGCTTGGCTCAAAAAGCCAAAAAGCTTCCAAGGCATCCCGTTTCTACATGGTGGAGTACAACCAGAATCTCTTCCGGTTCAGCAGTCGTGAGGCAAATTCCAGTCTGAGATGTTGCTTCTGTGCTAGCTTCTTTTTGCTCGAGTCGTTAGGTGAACTCATCCGAGTTTCCTTTTTGGCGGCTTGGTGTTCTACACCTGAAATTCCTCATCCTTGCCAGGAATTCAAGACATTCAGAGGTTCAGGTCATACTGCAGCTAACCAACTAGTAACTATATAGTCTTGATCAACGGTTTACTATGGTTTACTATTCTTCTTCTGACCCGAACCCGGTCTCGCCCCTCGCGCCGGCGGAAACGGTTTCCCGTCGCTTGCTCAAGCCAGGCAGCCATGAAGTTCATGCGTCAGCCGATGCGCTACCGAACCGCCAAGCTTCCGCCCAAGCTGCCACCGGAGGCGTGTGTTTTGGGTCATTCCTTTTGGTTGGAGAACACAAGATTCCGGGAGGTTTTTTTTTTAACATCGCATGCCAGATGGGCATGCCTCCCAGCCGATGGGAAGATATGATCATCCCATCCAACCTGGTTTTTGACGGTCCACAGTGTTTAACAGGCCGCGAATCTGTGCTCCATTGACTTGCAACCGGATTTGCGTTTGGAGTGGAGTAACAAAACAAACCTTATCGGAGATATACCCATTGACTCATTGGTTTAAGTAGGGATCATAACGGAATATATTCCTTGATTGGCCAATTAGTAAAGGCATTTTCTCTTTTTACCAAGGCTCACCTAGACTGCATGCATGGGACGACCCGTTGTCACCAGCTCCTGCAGGTGTCGAAAGAGGAGCGATTGGCAGTCGGCAACCCAGCAACGACGCGTGACACATCACCCTTCAGCCTTTGGGAGGTATTTCTTGGCTGAAGAGAATGCAAGTGTTTCCAACTCTCAGCGGTTTGTTGGCTAAGGCACCCCTGCTGAGCAGCTTGATCAAGGGCAAGGACCCGCACAGATTCTTGTATGTGGACCTTTCTTGTTCAGTCACAAGACGCCGCCATTTCACGCTTGTCAGAGATCCCCCTTATAGTGGCCGCTTGCAGCAAAGTGATTTATGGCTTTTCTGAAAGAGGGTATGGCTTTTCTGAAACCATTTTTTAATTTCCTCATGCCCTGAAAACTGAAACCTAGATATTTGATCCAGGATGGTCGGGGTCTGCAGCCATCGGACATGGTCACCTACATGGAGGTGGATCTGCAAAAGTTGGGATTCTGTGTGAACGTCTGATCTTGACCTACATGCTTTGGTTTGTCGGCGCATGTTCTTGTGAGGCTAGTGTGGCAGAGCTCATTTGCCAGGGCTTGGTGGAAACTGGCGAGTGCAGGAACCGACTTTTCGACTTTTCGATGCGCATAGTGCCTTTCAGCGCAGCGCCTTGC